CTACATACAAAGATAAGCATCATGCCTTGATTCTCTAAAGGAAGCAATGGTAATTCAGACATTTCAGCTGTGATTTCTGAAGTAGTTAATGTCTTCCTTGATGAGATTTGACAAGAAATTAATGGACTGACTGAATGGATTCTTCTATGTCTGTAGCATTCATCCTTCCTTTCCTCAGTGTTTTTTTTCTTTTCTTCTCTTAAGTCTCTGTCTTGATGCCCTGTCTGACACATGGGAGTACCCAGGTCTGTTTACAGGCAGGTGTCAGATCATATGACGAAAGATGCTGGAGAAGAGAGTGATGGGCTTTACGAAAGAGGCAAGCCACCCTCTTGGGAAGCCAGTATTTATCTTTCTCCTTTCCAAGTACCAGAGATGAGTATCAGAGGAAGGAGGGGAGCTGCAAATTGACAGTACAATCTGCTGTATGCAGTTACATGCAAGTGGAAAAGATCTTGGAGATGAGGAAATCATCATCATCTGCTTTACTGAACCCACTATCTGAGTTTCTTATTGAAAGCATTCCTCCTGCACTCGCTGAGGTTAAGATTTCACCATAACACTCAAGTCCATGCTTGGCTGGCCTGGTGCTGTTCTAGGAAGTATTATATTCTTACTGCATTTCTCTCCTGAGACAGGTAATAAGTTCACATCCTGAAGGAGCACCTAAATCTTTGTGCTTCTAACCTTTCAGCAGAGCTACCTATGGCATAGGTGAGAATGTGAGGAGTTTAGCCTAATGAAGCGCCTTCTGTAAGCTCCCAGCTCCATGTTGTCTGTTTAATCCTTCATGGTTAGACAAATGCATTAGCCGTTTAGCACAAGATGGCCTCTGCAAGGCTGGAATAACAGGAGACATAACCACAACATGACACCATCTGTGTGGCCTCAGTTGGCTACATAAACACAAAAGAGGAGGTTTCTATGCCTTTTAGAGAAATTCATGCTGCAGCACTTTTAAATTTATATGCTGAGTGACCTCTCAGACCAATAAATTTCTGTATAAATGAGACAGGGTTTACCAATGAGCTAGTCCCTCTTGCCTGTTAAATCTATACAAATATCAGTTACAAAATATGTTGGCCACAACGTGCAACCACATATGTGTTAGCAGAGAAAAAAATCTGAGGTAGGAAGAGGTGATATTTTTTATTTATTTTTTTTCGTGAGCCATATAGCAGAACCTTCTCTCTGGTGAAAAAAATGCATTTAAAGGACTGTAAAAGGGTTACAGCTTAAACTTTTGTTTAAATGCCAGACCACTGACAAGTTAAAATGCTTCCATACTCACTGATGAAGAAATAGGAGTGGTTGCTGTCAGTGACTTCAGTAATTGGCCTTATTTGAACAAAGAAGCTTCCTTCAAGACAGAGAAGAGTTGGTAATAAACTATTGTTTAATTCAGCTGAATTTTAACAAACATTTGGTAGCATAATAGGGAGTTTATTTACTTATGTATTTATTTCATTGATACTTACATGAAGAGTTATTATCTTGACCAAAATGGAATGAAAATGAGTTATACCATCATTTCAAAGGTCTGAAGTTTCACTCTGTGCTATTAATTAACAAAGTATTTTACTTGCAGTACTTGAACTAATCTTATTAGCTAGCAATAACTGCTTTAGCGTCTAGTAAAAAACATATCTGCCAACTGTGTGTAGTAACTTTCAGTTCACTACATGATGCATTCAATCTTTGCTATTGCCCATGAACATTGATATGAACACTATTTTTTCATTCAGCAGTACTTGAAAACCATAAAAGTCACGTATAAGTTCATTTTAGCATACATCTCATATGTCCTCATGTTCTTTATTATGCATATTACTGATATAACTTTAACTGAGATGAATTTGTTCTTAGCTAGAACTACACTGACTTACTCTGCTAGCTGTGGAAGTCTCCAGATTAAGGCTAAAGGATGATCACTATGATGTCTTTTTACACTCAAACCTCATATCTACATATGAAGCAACCAAAAAGATTTACAGCTGTGTGTGTATGTGAGACTGCACCTTTTATTTGTCTCCTTTTGCATATAGATAAATTATTCTGTCATTTCTTTGGTGGAAAAAAAAAAGATATTATTTCTGGTTATTTCCTCAGCATGTAGCCTATAACATGTCTAATAATACACAAAGCTTAACAATGTATGGTTTCATTGTTCCCTGCCCATTTCAAAACCAGTTCTGTGTGTTCTAAAAAGTAATATTGTGTCACCATTAATTCATCACAGAATGGCTCTGGCTGCCAATGCTTGAACAGGCTAAAATTTTTTGAGAGTAAATGAATTTCAATCTGTCCCATATTGAAAGCTGAGAATTAATAGCAGGCTTCCACTCAAAAATCAGGGACAGAATATAGCTAAGTACCAATGTCTTTCACACAGATACCTTTCATGCAGACGGACATTACCTTTCTGTCAACCTAATTAAGTATTACAGAGTAGATAAAACAAGACAAACACAGTCATTTAAATGTAATTGAGTACAGATCTTGTCATAGAAAACAGTAAGACATATAGGAGTCTTCTGAAATAGTCATATCGAATTAATTGAATTCTGTAGAGACATGAAAGGGTCAGACATAAAAATTAGGTAGGTGATGTGAGTTATATTCTTATAATAAGAGGTCAGAAGGCAACATTTACTTTGTCCTGGTAGTTGATTATTGCTGCTCTCCTCCACTTCCTGGCTAACTTGGAATGAGAATCTTACTAGATCTTAGCACTCAAGGACAGAAAGACTACTCTGGAAGAGCTATTACATTGTATGATCCAAAAATTTCTCATACTAGAAGCCAGAAAGACCATACTGGGGGGAAAACCAATCAAAATAGCAACAAAAAATCCCCAACCAAACCCCCAAAGAAACAACCCAGTACAATCATTTAAAGACATCACCAGTACATAGGGATGAACACACATATATTATAAACAGTGAAACCAATTAAATTGCCAAGTTCAATGAGGAAAGTGAGAGTCAATTGGATTCTTTTCAATAGTTCAGAGCTCCCACAGTTGGCTTTATGAACCTCAGGCAGGGGAAGCAGCAAAGAAATGCTGAGCAGTTCTCGGTAACTGTTTAAACAGGAGCTGGTGTGAGACTGCTGTTCACTGCACAGAACTCTATGTTTTACCCATCAATTTTCCCCTTTATGCCCTTGTTTCCTTACATTCTTTATGAAGCACAGCCATGAACCGTGGTGGAAGAGCTTTATTCTGCAGTGCCAAGAGCAGTGTAGTCTTGGTCCTTAACTGCTAAATAATATCTAAATAATAAATAATGATAATGGTCCTTGGCTCTCTACACTGAAGACCAAGTGATTTATATCTATTACATTTCTCTTTTTCTCTATAAACAGTGTCTGAGTTAAAAGGCATGAGGTTCAGGGCCTGGAGACAGTAATGATGTACTGCTTCTCACTACACACTGCAGTAAGATTCTATATGGCCCTGACTGGCTTCAGCAAGGACCTACCTTACTCCCTTGCCTATGACCCAGGAACCCTATTTCATCTCAGGTTGGGACTCTATTTCCTACTTGGGCTGTGCTGGTGCTGCCTCCAGACCAGTGTCTGCCTTCTGCTGTTCTTGACTTGGATGACTTCTTGGATGGATGTTGGACTTGACTTGCCATTGTGAATTTGTCTGAAAGTCACTGGACTGCTGACACAACCTGTTATCGTCAGCAGCCCTGCCCAGCTTACTGTGCTCATGTTCCACGGGGCTGAACTTTCATGGTGAGGGCTTTGCCTGCTGCTGATGGGGTCACTGTGTCTTCTGGTTCATCTGCCTCAGACAGCAGCCACACTCCTGGAGGCTCTCAGGGCCCCAGAGAACACAAAATGTGGCTTCCCAACAGCTGACAGGGCTCTCATTGGTGATCCAGTATATCATTAGCAAAAGTTCCTTTGCATACCAGCCTACTGAAAGCAGAAAACCTGGATGATTACAATAATAGTGGTGTAGCTAGCTGTGAAACAACACATCAAGTTATTTTTAGCTCATTCATGATAGGAGAACAAAGTCCCTAAAATTGTGCAATCTTTCTTATAAAACAGAGGTAGAAAGGGGTCTTCCATAATTAATGTCAGATTAATAGAGCTGGATCTGGTTAGAGAAACACATGAGCCACCCACCTGTGGGGGTCTAAAGAGAAACTGGTAGCGTTCTCTCTCACAAGAAACACCTGTGTGGAATGGGAGACTGGCTAATCCAGTTGCAACTTGCCTAATTAAAATAGTCCTCTGTGACCAAAGGAGAGAGAATGTCATGTTTTGAAGAGCTGTAGTCAGCTCGCCGTTTGACACTGTCTGTGACCGGATAAGAGGTCTGACTTCCTCCACGTGACTTCCGATTGCTTCACTTACTGCTGAACGTTAGAGTGATCATGACCAGATGCTTCCACTAAAACTCCAGCAGGTTGTGCCTGCTTTTAAATTGAGGAAGACTGATGGTCTGGTGAATAAGTCTTGTTGCTTCTGTAGCTACAAGTATCTTTTTCTTATGCTTTCTGTTCAGACTAACCTAACTAAAATCTGACCTACCATATGCTCATTCATGTACAAATGACTTAGAAATTCTCTATCAATGGACTACTGAATTAAGGGCCTGCTTCAGTAAATAGTTGCCTTTTACTCAACTTCATTGCCATTGATATGTACCTTTTTTATTATTATTTTCAAAGGAATTAGTATGACATTTTTCCTAATCTGTCTTTTAAGAAGAGAATATGCTGTTCAACAGTTGTCTTGGAAATGGATATATGTCTATTATTAACACACAATATGTGCTACCACTAATAACTACTGAATAATATTAAAAATCCTTAAGGATTCATTAAAATTCATTAGAACCATGTGTTCATGGACTTCAAGGGAAGTAGGTCAACCTAACCAGTTGAGAGATGATTACCTAGAGAAAGACCAGAGAGACAGTTTTTTCTTCGTTACTAAACTGCCATGGAAATTTTACCTATTTCTTGTTGTTTCTACAGAATTTCTCCAGGAGACATCTGAATGAAAAATGCAATATAAGATTGGAATATAGGTACTATAGATGGGATCAATTTATTTCTTGTTTTGTCTATAATGTTAATTTAAACCCTTAAACTGTTTCCATCTCAATTTCTATGCTGCTTTCCACCTTAATGTGACCTTGGCTTTCCATACAAAGATTGCAAAAATATATTAGATTTCAGCTATATGTTTATTATTTCATGCAGTCTTTTAAGAAGAACCTGTATAGGAACAAGGTTGTTGTAGATTTTATCTGCATCTTCCCTTTGACTTATATAAAAACATAATTTCAAATAATATGATTTAATTGTGTATAGAAGAAATGAATGGAAAACAACCATCCATACTCAGTCATTTAAAACCAAAGAAGTTTTTTTTCAGACACAAGGCAGCACACATGGTATTGAGCTATATATTTGGATCCCCAGTCCAGGAGCAGAACATCAGAGGGCAGTATTCTCAAAAGTCCGATAGTCAAGAAAATGGTTCTTTCATGTAGTTAGAACAAAGGGGACTTGGATATTCCTAACTAACCTGCATTCCATTGTTAAGAGTCTTTAATGTTAGTTTATGTCAAACAAAATTTCTAACTTTAGCCTATTCCTAGAGGCCCCCTACTCTGGGGTTTTGCATGGATTTTTTTTTTTATTTATTTTTTATTTTGCTTTTTTCACCAAGGCTGATATCATATAAAAACATCAGTCAGAGAGGGAGATGGCAGAAATCCAAACCTAAGTTCTTGCTATGAGAAGAATTCATTGTGGCCTCTTCCTCTAATTGCAGCTCTGATTCCTTTCCACTCTAAACATTGAAAACCCCTCACTTAAGGATTAGTTAAATCTGATTTAGACTGCTGCTTCTTTTGATCAAATGTAATTTGAAATCACTGCATTTCCTGAACAACTTTCTCCCAAACGTCTTCAGAAATTTTAGCTTTTAAAATCTTTATAAAATAGATTATTTTTACACTAATTTATCCATAAAACAAAATTATATACTTCCATGCTATGTGACTATATAGTTTGTACAGTCTGCATACAACAATTATATCTACCAAACACTGTGTGCACTATTCTTACAAAGTACTGTACAAAATGGCTTTGAAAATGCATGTAAGAAGGAATTTAATATGAAAACTATTAAAGTCAGTTACACAATTTGTCCAAGGTTGTTTGGGGTTTGTTCATTTGTTTGGTTTTTCATTTATTTTTTGTTTCCCAGGAAACGTTAGAATCACTTGGCTTCTCCATCCAATCTGAGATGGCAATGACAACACAGCAAATTGTATCCCACAGGCCTCTCCTCAAGGTGGTGGGAATTTGATAATGTTAACATACGTATCTAAGCCACATTAAATACTGCAGGTCTCTTACCTGGCTCCCATCTGCAGAAGAATAAGGGAGCTCTTAGTCCTGCCACGTCTGTTCTATGTGAATGTCTGACAGATCTGAAATATCAATGAAAGTCTATGTGCTTAGACAACTTAACTGCTTCTGGAGTGAGGGAAGGGGAGCAAGGCAGCCCATTACTTTCACTAAAGTCTGAGTCAGTGCCTTGGTTAATTAAAAAGCTGACTCATTTTTTTAATGAAGCATCTTTTAAACTATTTGCAATTTCATTATTCCTTGTCTTTTATTTGAATTAGTATATATACTTTTGTGGTATCTTTTTCTTGCAGCTTCAGTTGCAGATTATGACCTCATAGTCATACAAGTTATACTCATCTTGGAGGAGCACAGATTGTACTGTGGTGATATGGAGTTTCAAAACTATATATCTGTTGTGGATGCAGGCGATGCCCCTTTTTTCTAATCTACCTTAATGTGATCTGCCTTCACCCATCTCCAAAATACAGTAACCTTAAATTCGTGGTAGTGGAGGGGTCTGACAAGACTTTACTGTTTTGTGATCTATAGCAGGCTTTGCTCAGTGAGAAACAGCTATGCTGTGTCCTGCAGAGCAGCCCCTGCCCCAGGCTCTATGACAAGTTGCTCTGGGTAGCATCATGGGGGGCTTTCAAGGAGGTAGAAGGGTCATTTCCAGTGGGACTAGCACTAGTCTCTGCTACTGCTGTCTAAATTTGTCAGGGTGGCATTAACTGGAGTCTTCCCTGAGGTTTGCAAAATGTGTGAATATCTTCCTTCTTTGTGAAGGAAAGTACACCTTTGGTGAGGGCTTGTCATTTCTGAGGATGAGTTTGACAGAAGTTGTCTGCTCTTTTCCTTGCTTTGTAGGGATCCTTCCTCAGGATTATTGCTGTTACCTGAGTCTGTCCTTAGTGGACTGCTGACTTCAGTAACAACAGATGTAGTGACAGGAACTGAGTTAAGGTCTCAAAGAAAGAGACAGAGATGGGAGAATTAGGCAGACTAGACACTGAAGTAACTTACTAATGTAACACATACAGCAATTATACATTTGAATACCATGTGTCCTCTGTTGTTCTGCTGCGAAATCCTTTAAATGGAAAAATAGCGCAGATTTGTGATGATATTTTTGAGGAAAAAATGAAAACAAGGTATCAGTTGTATTTCCTATGAAAAGCAGATTTGCATTCTTTGGACAAGCATTTAGAGATGCGTAATATTATTTGTATAGCAGTCCTTACCTGTATAGCATTAATTAGATATGCAAAAATTATTAATATGCAAAATATTAGGTATGGAACCCGTGTTTTTATTGTGGTAAGAACCCATAAGGAGATACCAGTGCGCAATGCCCTATAAAAATGTAAAATAAAGTACTAGTAATGTGTGATTTCTAATACAAAGCTAGTGAGTTATATTTCTAAACCAGAAATATAGTCTTTCTGTTCTTCTTTCCTCCCCTGGGTTTCATTTAATATTGGGACATAAATTGTGAGATATGTAGGTAAAACAAAATCCATGGAAAATAAAGAGACAGTAAAATAAATCACAACATCTAAGATTCATGAGTTATCAAAAAACATGTTTTTTCAGGGCTTTTATTTTTCTTTCCTTTTTTTTTTTTGTTAACAACTGTGCATTATATTTAAATATAATTACAGTGATGTGAAAAATTATGGAATTCAGTACAAAGATAAAATACCATCTCTTAAAAAATCTCTTTGGCACAAATTGAAGGCTCTTGATATTCAAGGAAAAAAAAAAAAAAGAAGTGTTCCTCTCAGAATTAAAAAGTACCCAATACCTAGAATTTTAACAAATAACTATAAAACTATCACGTCAATTCAAAAGACAGCATTCTTTTTTCTTTGTGAAATGGTTCCCAGACCTGTTTAGATAAGTCCCAGAAAAGTTGTGATTTTTTTTTTCTTTGCCTTCTTTTTCTGTTTACGACAGCCAAAGAACACTGCCAGATATTTTGTTTGTTTTATCATGAAGGTGTAGCCTTAATTTCTGGACTAACTGCACAATCAAAGGGGTAAAAAGTCAGCAAAGACACGGCACTTGCTTTCTGCCTAAAGATATGCAAGGTTTGCTTTTTAAGATTTTCTTATTATCAGTGCAAGGCAAAATTTGCTCAGTTCTTTAGAATATAAAAGTGTGAAATTTAGTATCATAAGGAATTTCCTACTTGTCCTGGGTTTAGCAGTAGCAGACATTTTTCTCCTTCTTGGTAGCTGGTGCAGTGCTGTGTTTTGACTTTGGGTTGGGAACAGAGCTGATAAAAATGATGTTTTGGTTTGGCCAAGGACTTTGTGAGCCTCATGCTCTGCCAGGGAGCAGAGGAAGCTGGGAGGAAGCAGAGACAGGACACCTGACCCAAACTGACCAAAGAGGTATTCCATACCACAGCACGTCATGGCCAGGAGGTAACTGGGAGTGACCCGGAAGGGCTAGGTGGACTGCAGGGTTGGAGGAGGTATCGGTCGGTGCTTGGTCGGGCTGGGGGTGCGAGTTATCGGTCGCTTGGTGATGAGATGGTGTATTCTCTTCCTTTGTTATTTCCTTTATCATTACTATTATTGGTGGTAACAGTAGTGATTTGTGTTATACCTTAGTTACTAAACTGTTCTTATCTCAACCCGTGGGAGTTGCATTCTTTTTGATTCTCCTCTCCGTCCCTCCGAGAATAGGGGAGGCCAAGAAGGGGATGGGGGGAGTGGACAAGCTGTCTGGATGGGTTAAACCACGACACAACTAATACAATAAAAACCCTACAATACTGTGAATTATATGCTCTCCTCTAACCAGAATTACCGAACATTTTTTGTTTGTTTGTTTATATTAATAGCACTTTGAAAATTGATTTAATAACTTCGTATTTTATTATTATTTTTAGGTTAAAGTTTTCTTTGCATTCACAATGGAAGCTCAGTAAAGAAACTGTACAATTATAGAACAATACTAAAAATGTAACTTAGTCTCAAGAGTTTTCATGTAGGTGTTAATCTAGAGTTACTATAGCAGACAGCCCAGTTTCCACATAGTTTGCAGAATTAATCTTCTTTGTCAGCTATAAAGAATTTTGCTGATCAAGACTGTCCGTGTGGTTTATAACTACCAATTTATAACAAACGTTTCCATGTCTCAGTATAGGGGATGTAATAAAGACCCAAGATCACTCAACCAGTGCACGTAATTTTAGATTTTTTAATCCCATTTATCTTTTACTAGTGTTTCTCTTGAGAAAGAAAGGTATTTTGGCACTTGTCTTCTGATTATTATTTTATGGAGAATTTAATGGATGTTTTTCCAAACAAATAAGGAATACAAAGGGGTTTATATTACTGTTTTAAACTCTGGATTCATAAAATATGATGTCATAGGATTAGTGACTATTTAAAAACAATATCTACATATCCTCAGTAGATAATCACACTGGTCCCAAGCGATAGGAAAGCAATGCAGGAAACTGCTTTGTTTTCAAGATGAAATGGGCTGGTGTTTGCTTTGCTCAAACGTTAGAGAGTCCATACCTACAGAAATATGTAGTTACAAATTGAACACAAGGTAGCACCTGAGCACCTCTAGTAATTTATATCAGATGTGATCTTCTTTCTAGGTTTTATAGTTATGTGCATAAAACTCTCACCTCACAGAAAATGAAAAACTATGCATTTTTAAGCACTGTTTTTCAAATGGTCTTATTTTCTTCCGGTACTAAAAATCTTTAAACATAAAAATTGAAGCAGGATAAGCCTTATTGGCCAGCCTTCCTGCTACCAAGTATTTTTTCCTTTCCCTATGCCAGATCTCCTCATGAAGCATTACTTGATATAGCCCTAAAAGAAAAGATTAATATTTTCACTGATTCACAGCACAGCATGTTTGTTGACTGAGACAGCTGCAAGAACAACTTCTTGGGCTGAATCCTGATTTCCTTCAGCACACTGCATTATCTGGGAATTCCTGGGCTCTTTTTGACCCCCTATATCATGATTTTATTTCCCATCCTCCTACCCATGACTTACTACAAATGTTCCCACCTCCATACAAGCCTCCTACTCATCCAAAACCACACGCATATTCATATCAGTCATCATTAGCGTTTTTGTTTGAGGCAATGCAGGTGTTTCTGTAGTGGGTTCCACACGCCTGGAATAGTCTTGCAGAGAGCAATTCATGCTCTCTTAATATTCCTGTTTATAATTTTAATTGCACTTCAGTCACACTGGCCTCTCCATCCTGGAGAATAATTGATCTTGTCTGTGAATGTTGGAAGCTGAGCTTGTAGGGTTTCTTCAAATTTCCCTTAACTTTTATTATCAGTAAGTGTCTACACATTATTTAAATGTGAAAATTTGCACTGACCCTGGTTTGGGTTCAGTCTTAGAATTTAAATATATGCTAAGGGATTCCTAGAATTTAAATATATGCTAAGGGAGACATATATATATATAAATATATATAAGTATATGTTCTGAATGAAGATTTTATGAAGATTTTATTTTGGAATTAATTATATTTTTTGTCTAGTGTCTGTTGGAGCACTGTAGTTATCAAACAATACACAGTTTATTCTTATAACTTATGTGTGCAGATGCCTTTTTTCAACATTTATTTATGTTTGCATTGTATGTGTTATAACATTACTATTAAAACATGCTTCGTATCATGTAAGACTTATATAGATGGAAAAATGAATACAAAATCCTGTGGTTTTCATCTTGATGAGAATACTGTTAATAAAACAGTAAATACAGAAAAGATAATAAGGAAAGTATTTCTGAAAAACTATAATGCAAACCAGCTTTGCATGTCAGATTAATAGAATAATATTTTACCTAAAAATTTGAATGTCCCACCCTTGCCAGATTTCAGCCCTAATATATTTTGGACCATAGCCACAGTGAAATACCTATTTTTTAGTAGTTAAAATAAAACTTTATGAAATATAACAAAATGTATGAGGAAGATTTCCTTGGGATCTTAGATACAGGACAGTATCAAGCATTATCTCCTCTTCAGTCTACTCA